ACCCCCGTGAAACCACCATAGTTGCTCCTTCCTCAAGCCAAACGACCCCCCACGCCTCAGCTGCTATCAAGCAGCAGCTACTGCTGCATCGTCCAAACACCACCACCCAAACACCTATCCAAACTACCAGCCCAGCTTCATCACCCCCGTCGTAACCCAAAAACCAGTCGCGATGCCCCCCTCACGTCCGAACGACCATCGCCTTCTTCCTCCATTAAATCTGACGAGCACTGCTGCTTCGCCTTCGTCGTCACTGCCCCCAGCTTCACTCCCTCATCGTCAAACAACCTACCCCCCAGCCAACAAGCCCTGCTGCCCGTCGACCCTACCTCTGTCACCATTGTTGCGCCGTTCGAGCAGCAGCCATTGCTGTTGTTGTTCGTGTTCATCACACTCGTCGACCACTCTCCGAACAACCACCCCTTCTCCTCCAATCTCCATCGCAAACAGGCGATTATCCAGTCGTCACTCGCGTGCCCAGTGACCGCTGTTTTTTCGCTGTCGTCGCGCAGTCCGTCTGAGGTCGTCGTTGGTATGTGCTCGTGGCTTCCGGTCTGATATCGTTGAGCTTGACATCGAGGTTCCGTCGTTGGAGAGGTTTCCGACAGTTGTCGGTCCAGTTGGTTGTCGTTCGTGCTTCAAAGTTCAAACAGGTGCATACGCATTTCTAAACTTGTGATATTTGCTTAAATGGAATGAAATGATATGGATTTCCTATGCACTGTTTGTGTATCGGCTTGGTTGAATTTCTCTTCATTTTTACCATGGATATTATTACCATTTTTTACCATGGATATTATTACTTATTAGAATTGTTGTTTTTTGTTTAATCTCGGACGACTTCACTAGTAGAAAATCGTAGTTGTTTTAAGTTTGCCCTTAAATAATAAAATGAGACGAGCCTCGCCAAATAAAACACATAGATTGCGGGGCCCTCACAAAATATATGTATTAAATACTTAGATTCCGGGATGGGCCGTTTAGCAAAATTCACGGCCCTACCCAATATAATAATGCGCTNAAAATAATAATGCGCTAGTTGCTTTAGGCGCGCCTTTAATAATTTATCCTCCCTAACTCGGGTGCATATGTATGTGACCCAAATCCAAATCTCAGCGGAGTTGAAATGTGTCTCTAAATCGCGGGTACATTGATTGTAACGTGGTTCGAGATGCATGTCCACGACATTGCAAATTCCTTAAAAAAAATAAGAAGGAGATGAGCCTCGCCGAATAAAAATATCAATTGCGGGGCCCTCACAAAATATATATATTAAAATACCTAGAATTCGGGAGAGCCGTTTAGCGAATTTCACGGCCTTCCCAGAATAATAACACGATAGTCTCTTTAGGCGCGTGTTTAATAATTTACTTTCTTAAACTCGGGTGTGCATTTCATGCGACCCAAATCCAAATCCCAAAACATCAAATAAAATATGTTCCGGATTATGGGTGCATTTCATGTGACGCAGTCCAATGACATGTTTTAAGCGATGTTCACATTCTTAATAATAATAATTATGAAAGCGGTAAAAAGTTAAAATTTGCACATAAGTTCATATTTGTATAAAATCATATAATCAAGCCGAATATAACAGTTGAGAAACCGTGCTAGAACCACGGAACTCGGGTATGCCTAACACCTTCTCCCGGGTTAACAGAATTCCTTATCCAGATTTCTGGTACGCAGACTGTAATATGGAGTCATTCTTTTCCTCGATTCGGGATTAAAATTGGTGAATTGGGACACCCTAAATTTCCCAAGTGGCGACTCTGAAATAAATAAATAAATCCCGTTTCGATTGTCATTTAATTGGAAAAAACTCCTTTGCACCCTCGCGGGTGCGTAAAAAGGAGGTGTGACAGTTAGCAGCATGTATCCAGGGCCTGCCCAATAACAAATTGTAGGAGACAGCCATATCTAACACTTGGAATTCCATGGTGAACTCAACTAGCCCTATCGACAATTCGAGCACTATATCTCCAACAGAATCTTTACCTCCCCCATCAAAGCCTCGAACACACATACTGTTCATGTGGATTCTTTCAGTGCCAATCTTCAATTTTTGCAGAGTAAACAGGGGACAAATATTCACACTAGAGCCATTGTCAACCAAAACCTTTGAGACGACAAAATCTTCACACTTCACCGTGAGATAAAGAGCTCGGTTGTGTTTTGTACCCTCCATAGGAAGTTCATCATTTGAGAAAGTGATCATGTTTACTTCGAAGATCTTGCCAGCTATCTTTCCAGGTGATTTAATGTGATCTTATCAGGAACATGTGCCTCATTCAAAATCTTCATCAGGACCCTGCGATGTTCGTCTGAATGTATCAGCAAAGACAAAAGAGAAATCTAAGATGGTGTTTTCCTTAACTACTCCACAATGGAATAATCCTGCACTTTCATCTTTTTAAGGAACTCATCAACCTCTTCTTCGGCGACCGATTTCTTTACTGGCATTTGGCTATCCTTGAATGGCTTGGCTTTCCTTAATCTTCTTCTAGGGTGAAACATATCCCAGAACGAGTCAATATTCCAGCTTCATTAGCTTCTTCCTCTATTTCTTTTCCTTTGTATGTCACCATCAGTCATTTGTAATTCCACGGAACAGCCTTGGCATCAACCATTGGCAACTGGGTCACTGGTTTAATGATGATAGGGGTAATACGAGCCTCTTTCACAACTATGACAGGCTTACTTGGAATCCCTGGCACTACCACTTTTGAGCTTTCTAGACTTTCCCCAATATCCTTCGACAGCCCTTTCACGACCAACACCGGCGGCTTCAAATTGAGCGAGCTCGGCTTTTCTGTCGCCCCTTCAACTATCAAAGGCTTTGCTTTGGTAGAGTCTGGAGCTTTAACCAAATTACTTTCACTGGCCCGAATCATCATGACGGACTTAGAAGGCTTCTTGGGCTCCCCATCCTTGTGAACTATTTCAATCATATGCGTCTCTGCATGGGCTGGCAAAGGGTTTTGGTTGATATTTGGCGTGTCTGGGCTTTGGACTACGATTTGGTTTGTATCAATGAGATCCTGGATTGCCGTTTTCAAATACCTGCACTTCTCTATGTCATGCCCTGGAGCATCAGAATAATAGACACATCTTAGGGAATAATCGAGGTTCTTTGGAGGGGGATTTGATATCTTTGACTCAATCGGCCTCAGGACATCCAACTGCCTTAACCTTGAAACAGACTAGCATAGGACTCCCCAAGCGGGGTAAAAGTTTGTTTCTGTTGTTGCCTCTCTCTTCTATACTCTGGCCTTGGTTGAAAATTTGAACCATTGGGATTTTGGTAGGGTTGCGAAGGTGGATAGGTGTTTTGTAGAGCTGGGTAGATATTCTGTGGGGCTGGGGCACGCCATTGTGGGTAAGGAGGGGGTTGAGCATATGACTATGCATGATGAACAAGGTATTGGGATGGCCTAGCTGAGTATTAGGGGTTTTGCGGGGAAAAGTAATATTGTGGTGGATTATATGGAGCTTGGGCATAGGTTTGAGGTCAGGGTCGAGGATGGGTGTACTGATGAGGTGAACCCCTTTGGCCATGCCATGGTCTAGAGACAACCATGGCAACATCGTCCTTCTTCTTCTTGCCTAACAAACTCCCGGTACCACTCTGGATTGCCTGGGTGGTTGCTTTTATAGCAGAATAGCTCATGATCTTGCTCGACTTGAGCCCCTCTTCCACCATTTCTCCCATCTTTACCACATCATTGAAAGACTTACCAATGGCTGACATCAAATGGCCATAGTAAGTGGGCTCCAAGGCTTAAAGAAAGTATTCAACCATCTCGTCTTCTTCCATCGGAGGATTGACTCGTGCAGCTTGCTCCCTCCATCGGAACCCATATTCTCTAAATCTTTCACCGGGTTCCACCTTGGTCAAAGATAGGCGGTCTAGAACAATGTCTATATTGTACTGAAAGTGCCAGGCGAAGGCTTGAGCCATATCGTCCCAGATGTACCACCTGCTAGTGTCCTGGCGGGTGTACCATTCTAAAGCTGCCTCACTCAGACTTTGGCTGAAGTATGCCATCAGTAATTCATATTTTCCCCCGGCGCCTCTCATTTTACTACAATAACCCCTCAGATGAGCTACATGATCCCCATGTTCGTCGTACAAGTCAAACTTGGGCATCTTGAACCCGGCAGGCAGTTAGACATCAGGGAACAAACACAAATCCTTATAGGCCACACTCGCCTGGTTTACCAACCCTTGCATATTTCTCAATGATTTCTCTAGACTCTTTACCTTCCTAAACATCTCCTCTTGCTCTACGTTCTTGGGTGGTTTGTCAGTTTCAACATGAGGCTCAAATTGGGAGGTGTAAGAGTAAGGATCTGGGACTTTGAATGTGGTCTCCAATGCATAGTAGTGGGCATCGGGAGCGGGGAATGCGGGCTCACTAGAGGATCGGTGGAGGGTAGCTGGTGGAGGGGGTACAAAAATAGGAGCAGATGTCAGAGCAAGGTACGAGGTTGTTTTGGCTGGTGGAGCATGAAAGGTTTGGGCCGAAGTGCCGGGGTAGTTGTGGTAAGGGGTAAATCCATGTGCGTGTTATGGGGAAAGATCAATGGTATTGGGCATCTGGGATTGAGAGAGTAGTGGCATGGAAGCAGGGTTTTCTGTGTAGTTGGTGGGGAACGAGGGTGGAGGGTGTCCCTTAATCCAGGCCTGATACATTTCCGCCATCTGATGTTTCAGCCTTCAGACATCCTCTTGCAGTTCTGATTCCGACTCAACAATCTCCCTTGGTGGGTCTACAACTCTAGTGTCTGTTTCCTTGCTAGCCATGATTGTTTGATGCTTTGATCAGGTGTTGTATGGATGACTTGCCAGGATGCCAACAAACTAACCACCTTCATGTTATTAAATAAAGATGACAAAGGACAACAACACAAAACCACCATGTTAGCATTAGGGAATTTATCAAATAATAATATCACATTACGTGCAATGCACCTAGCAACAATTAGCGGTTCTAAAATGGCTTTGAGGGTCGCAAGATCATATGGTATCATCCCAATTTGCTCAGTTCCATCCTTCATTCTCTTTCTTTTCCAACACCTCTTATCACTCTTTTCTCTTTTTTATTTCTTTTTTTCTCTTTTTTTTTCTTTTTTTCTTTTGCAAAATGATTTGATCGAACCAGATGTAGGTTGCTTATGTATCATGTCCCTTATGAATCAAACCGAGCGTAGTTCTGGAAAAGTGATGGAAAATAAACTAGAAATAAAATATTTTTGGGATTTTTCATTTAAAAACTTTTCGATATTAAAATACATTAGGAAGTACGATAATGCAAGACATGACAGACTCAACTATACTACGACAGACTTTGAAACTACCTAAAGGACTCAGTATTTCTAGACAAGACACGAAAGTAAAAGACAACATAAGACAATGTCAAAACACCTAAATAGAATGACCCCTCAAGCTGCTCCTGAATGCGACGGTCCTGGCTAGGATGGTCCTGGGCTGTCCGTCATGTTCAAACCCTGTAACATGCCTCGTAAAGAAACACCGATGCTGGGAATAAAGGCCTTGGCGTGTGCCCCCACATCCTGAAGGCCAACCTTAAACAAATACTGGCTATGCTGCTCCACGTTTGCTGCCAATCCCGCTAACTGAGACTTTATCAACTCAAGCTTATCCCAAGGATCTTGGTCTGATGCCTCCTCAAATCATCTGTCTGAACTGCTCGACCCCTAAGTTGTGCTGGCAATGGGGTGCTGACCCTTGGTGGGACGGACTGTAACCAAATCAGGTACTCCTGAGTACACTCGGGCCTGTCAACGTCCTCTACTAATGTATTTTTCTTCATCCTCTTTGCATTGTTCCAGTATTGCACGTACTTGATTTCGTCATCCGCCTTTTTGCTCGATACAACTCTGCTAAGATCATTGGCACAACGGTAAGGGTTTTTTGTTGCTTCTCATGAAATAGTGCCATTACCACTGACTGCAGACGGGTGCTAATGTGCCTCTCATCTAATGGAAAAACCAATAATCCCAACAAAGCAAGGCTGAAAGCTTCGAGGCGACGTCTTTGCCACTTTGCCTTGGTTGTGCAGAACTCATCCCAAAAGACGTCAAAACTATCATGTGGTCCAAATCTAGCAAACAAATAATCCAAGGATATCCAGGACTGCTCGAGGCATTTTAAATGCTTGTTATCTTTCAGTCCCAGGTCACTGAGGAATCTTGTCCTAGAATGGTCTCGGAGAAGTATCATGTCCTTGCCTATATAGCTTAAACGAGTGAGACCAGACATTTCTGCCAAGGTAGGGGTCATCTCACACTCTCCAAATCTGAAAATCAAATTTTGCGGATCCCAATAAGTCAGCACCGCCTCCACTAAGTCTGGGCGAGGTGTGATATCAAGAAGGGAAGTGAGGGTGCCCAATTTCTGCATTAACTCATGCTGCTCTAACAACGAAAACGTTTTCCACCACTTGATTAATTTCCTAGGAATCTTTACTACCATCAACACTTTGGATCGAATCAGCGGGTCCATACCTGAATGAAGAAAACATGGTTAGCGACTTGGGACACTACGTGACACCACAACGTTTCCTAGTGGACAAATGTAAGACACGATTTGGCTATATTTTGCAAAATGGTCTAAGTGGCTGAAAGTGGCTATTAGTGCAAACTTGACAAAGTTGACCCCTAATGCATGAAAAATACTCCATTTAAAGCTTACATGACTCCAACATCCCAACTATCATGGCCTTAAAAAATACTTTGCGGAAATGGCCCATTTTGCAAAAATGGCCGATATGGCCAAATGTGGCTAGGGACGCAAACATGACATGGATGGATCTTAAAGTGATATGACACCGAGTTGTAAACTCAAGATCCTAAAACATGGATAATTGAACCACTTTTGCAAAAATACCCTATTTTGTAAGATGACCGATGTTGCCAAAAGTGGCTAGACACACAAATTTAACAGGAATAGACCTTAGAATCGAGAGGAAACTTTATTGTAGACTCAGGGCTCTAAGACAGGAGATAACAAACTACTTTGAGAAAATACTCCTATTTTTGCAAAAACGACCGATGTGGCCAAATATGACTATACATGCAAGATTTGGCTACGACCAAGAACCTAGGACCTACTTGGAAGACCGGACCCTATGTGGGTTGCCTACGTATCTTGCCCCGGAAGACGAGAATCAGGTTCACGTAGTTCGGGAAGATTGGATATGTGAGAAAGCTTAAAATGACACTAATTTGGAAAATATATTTTTTTGTCTTTTGAAAAATGATGAAAAATGTAAAATCTTTTTGGATTTTCTTTTTCTCATTTTTTGGATTTTTGGAAAATAATGGAAAAATGTAAAATCTTTTTGGATTTTCTTTTTCATTTTTTTCTTTTGGTTTTTTTCTCGAAAAAGTTGTGAAAGAAAATATAATCGGGCCCTACTTGCTTCATTTTTCACCCTTCTATCCAAAACGTCGGTCCGCCAAATGACCTTTCTACCCTCACAGATGCAATATTTAGCACATAGGATGATTAAATGTCATTTTGGGCCACGGGCCCATTTTTGACATAATTTGGATAGGCCTCCTACAATGGGACACGATACCTGGGATGAGCCCTGCTAGGTTTAAATGACATGATGCAAATAAGAATGACCTAAAGGCTGACCTAAGTTTGGAGTTCACTAACAAGGTAATTCGGGGGAGCGTATGGTCGAAGAGTTCGTGTACGTGATGCGTACTCCGAGACTTATTGCAGAAAGAATTGACCAGGTAATGCATATGATGACAGTTATAAAGCAGTAATACATAAAGGAAAAACTATAAACACATAAAACAACTAGCAAATAAAGCGATATAAGCAAAAATAAATCAAATAAAGAAAACATAAAAAAAACCTCAATCGAATATTCTAAAAAGCCAACAAAATCAAGTACTAGCTCGAACCTGCAACTCCCCAGTAGAGTCGCCAGAGATGTCACACCCCCTTTTTTTAAACGTCACTTAACCCTCTTAAAAATAATAAAAGTGATTTAGTAAAGCTCAAACAAGGGTTTTTAATTAAAAAGTGACAAAATTGTGTTCAAAAGGAAATAGCTCAGATTCGCCACCTGACTTTGATTTCGGTGTACCAGGTCACCGTTTTTAAAAAAAATTCCTTTTTAAACATTTTAGACTCTAAAACCAAGTCCGCACCAGTGATTCGGGAAAGGGGGTTCGTTTGACCTGGGAAGAAGGTGTTAGGCACTCCCCAAGTCCCGTAATTAGTACGGTTTCTTACTTGATCTAATTTACTTTTAAAATATTCAATTGAGGTAAAAACACAAAAAAAAAAAAATAAACACACAAGAGGCTAGAGGTCGTCCCCGCCTAAAAAGATAAAAATAAATAAAAGAAAATATTAAAATTCTATTCTACGCTTCCTCACGTCATCCAATCTCTAATCTTCATTTACATGTACTATGGGGCATACCCCGGATAAAATATATACAAATCTTTCGGGGCATTCCCCGGTTAAATTTAACTAAGGGAACGACCTCTTGCCTCAAAATTAACGGAAGTCTTAAAGCTTGTCTACCCAAAGGTGGTCGGCCTAAGCATGCTCCTAGCGAACAATATCATCAATAAAGAAAATAAAAGGAACTAAATAAAGAAACTAAGTGGAAGAACAATTCAATTCATGCTCATGTTTTGTTTTTAAAATTTTCTTTTTTATTAGGCCGAGCCTGATACCTAAAGCATGGAACAAATTAATTGCTAATGGGCTTTGGCCTTTCTACCACTCCCCACGACCCAAATTCAAGCACGAACAGTACAAACAAATACTCAAAAACACATGAGGGGCAAAATGATATAAAATAGGAGGGATAAACTACAGCTGGTCAGAATATGAAAAGAGCCCTTGAAGGTCTAAACAACACAAACAAATACTCAAAAATGCAAGTTCAAATAAAGACTAGCTATCAATTTTGCATTCTAACAAGGAAACGCATGACACTCAACAGAAGTTCAAGCCCACTGGCAACCGAACCAATATAGACATATAAACTCTATTATTATTAGTAACAACTTCTTTAAGATCAGAAGAACAGCTTATGAGAAACAACTCACGCCGAACTTAATGAATAGAGGAATTCGGATAACGAACTAATTTTAGAATGGGCATACTTCACTAACCTACAGCTTGGGACTCCAACCAAATGAGAAGATTATATAGCAAGAGCCACCTTAAACAGAATTTTAAACTACCATGAGGACAACAAATTAGTTATTAACTAAAGCTTTTTATGCGACTATTTGATCTTGCAAAATCCTACACGGGCCTCAATAGAAAGCATTTGAGCGGCCAACTCTCGAACATTAAGCATGGCGGAAAGGAACTAACATCTCATAATCTCATGCTAATTACCCATTCACAAATAAATCCAAGGCATGGGCTAACAGTCAAGCAACATCGTATATAATACGTATACCAACAGATTGTGTCGACAACAAATGAACAACCATCAGAGAGGCTTCAAAAATTATTTTTTGTATTCAAACTCAACCAAACAAATAAGAACTTCTTATAACTAGAACCTAATAAGCAAATTAAAACTTTTATAAGTAGAAATGGCCTACGAATGAAAGCATCTGATGTTTGATCTCTAATGAAATCTAGCAGACTCAATCATTACTATTGCAAACCAAGAGGACACTGAGTTTACTTGAGATCTGGTAGCTAAGTTTCATTAAAATACCTTGATGGATGCTATGGTGATTTGCCAAGAATATAACACCTTAGGAGGAGCAACGTTTGTCACGCAACAGACAACAACATATATATAAGCAACACGACACTACAAGAAGCTCATATGCGGTGAGTGATGTTAAAACACTAAAAAAATGCTTGATCAAATCATGAAGAAATCAACAGTTTTTAGAACCAAAATCAATAGTGAGAACAAAGAATTCCAATGAAATAGCGAAAACGAACTATATTCCTATTTCTAGCATCCAAACCAACATACGAGCAGGACAACGGAACACAACAATCTACTAAACAGAACAGAGCAGCATACGAGCAGTACGAGCAGAACAGAATCGCACGCTAAGAGAATTCATCCAACATGTCCAAACAGAACAGACTGAAAAACACAGACATTAAAGCATGAAAATGAAACAGAACACAAGTAACAGAGTAAGATCCAATCTAACTAAAATCACACATGACAGGGGAGACAAAAATGAACCTGTTGAAGCTTAAGCTTTCGGTAGAACAGAAGATTCAGGGTATACAAAGCTTTTACTCCAAATTCCAGCAAACTAACAGCAATATCGCGACTAGTAGCAGGATAAAACAACAACAAAAATGGATTTGGAACCACGAACAAGAACCTCACGAGCAGTCAACGGACATCAGCTAAACTCCATTCTTGTTAAACAAATCAGAAGCTATTATATATTTTTTTATTTTCTGTTTCGAATATGAAAGAAAGACTCAAAGAGAACTCTAAAATGTTATGCTCAATCGACTGAAAATTGGAAGGAAGAAAGTAAAAAATTCAGAAAAACCCTAGCCCTCTCGTTTTCCGAACTCTCTCTTCTCTGATTTTCTCCTCCCTCTTTTCTGTCCGAAAATCCCAAATATATAGGGATCCTAGAAGCTTTTTTTTCTTCTCCTCCAAGAAATTCCAAAAAAAAAATCCTTTAAAATTTCTAAATCCGTTTGTTGAAGCAAGTAAGGGACAAATGGAGGGAGTAGATTGAGCTAAAACTTAATCCTACGCTCACCATTCATCCTCCCTCGCCTTAAACGGATCGTGTGAGCAAAGAACGCGTGAAAGAGATGGAATCTTCTTGTCAGAGGTCGTTATGGTCTTGATGACATGGAAGAAGGAAAGGAGAGGGGGGGGGGACCATGAGTTAACTCGTGAGCGAGGTTTTGGTGGTCTTACCATGGCTGAAGCGCGACTGGGATGGGGTGAAGAGGGGGCGCCGTTTGGGTGGTGTTACATTAGGGTAGGGTTTGGAAATATTAGGTTTTTATATTAAAGTGAGGATATATCTTGGCCATTGGATGGAAAATAGATGAAAGGCTATGATTAAACCAAAGAGGGAGATGGGTCAGACGGGTTATGGAACGGGTCATGGGTTGGATCCGGTCGGGTATTGGGTTGGTTTGGGTTGTCCGATTTTGGGCTTCCTTTTGTGTAGAAATAGGGCTTCAAATTTGTACTTCTTCAATTTTTAAAGTCCATTAAATAACAAACTCAATCTTTTAAATTAAAACTAAAGTAATTCCGATTAATTAAATAAACTATATGATAATATGAAACTGTATTTTTTTTTTAAATATTTCATGTTTTATATAAATTAAAAATAAAAGTAAAAATCATAGTAANATATATATATATAGTATTTGTGCCTTAAAAATAGAATTAAAATTAATAATAAAGTAAAATCCTATAGAAATAAACTTAAATAAATATCCTAAAAATATTAGGACTATTAGAGGTGATTCTAATGCGTGGGTCCAAAATTACATGTCTACACCAATTATTTGCAACAACACTCAATCCAAACAAATAATGATTTTTGAAAACCCAAATTAGAATTCAAAGCTTCAAAGCTTTTTAATGGCTGTTAATGGTGGAATTGTTGCTCTATTTTCATTTCCTCTTATATTACTGAAATTTGGTATTGCGAGATAGAGAGAGACATAGAGAGAATTCTCAATTCTTTGCAACAACATCCAATCCAAACAAACAATGTCTTTTGAAAACCCAAATTCGAATTCAAAACCTTGGCTATGGAAGAAATAATGGGATTTTGATACAGAAATCATGGGTGTGGGAGGGAAACGTGGGTGAAGGTGTGTGAATTGGAGAGAGAAACGTGGGGGAAGTGGTATTAGAAGGAATATACGGTACCATTAAATTAGAAGTATAATTAATACCCTTAAAAACCACTAATGATATATAATTGGTAATTAGGTATACTAAATGTAATTATATCAAACCTTAAACATTGATGGTAATATAGTTTCCTATATGGCATAGGATGTAAAAATTCCATGAATTTAACACTTTAACGTCAAAAGAAAGGAAAGAAGACATCTTTTAAAAATAATCTCAAAATAAGTTATTTAACATTAATTACCGAGTACGATATTTCAAATTTATAATTCTTTTAATTAATATTATAAAATTTTTCGGGAAAGATAAAATTACCGACATAATAGGTTTTGTTTCGTACACTTTATTGCTATGAGGACATTAGCAATGAGCTTATGTTTCATGTTTGTTTAGCTAGTGAACCACATTTACGTATTAGGGATAATATGCATAAAATTCTTCCCGACCTATGATCATATTGCCAATTACACACATTTTCTTTTTTGGAGGTCCTTCCCCTAACTATTTTAAAGTATAATAAATATCACCCTAGATGCTGACGTGACATACAGAGTGTGCATACTCTTTTTAAGGCAAGTGAAAGTTACAAAAATAATTTTACAATTGATTAACATGTACAAATGTCATCTTTTGATTGGAAATTACATAATTAATTACATCTAATTAATTAGTCTCCTTCGTCTTCTAAACCTCTTCTCGCACGAACAAGGGGGACATCGTTTCAACGGTGAAATGCCGGAGCGAAAATCCAATACAATGCAAAATCAATCCAGAAATAAAAATCAGATATATTTAATAACATAAACAGAGCTACAACTAGAGGGAGCAACGACCATGATTCAGTAAGAACCTACGAACAGTCAAAACGGTCAACAACAATGGAGTTTCGGCGGAGCAAGAGTCTTCGTCGGAGTTTCGTTCTCCGGCCAGATCTGACAATATCAAACAAATATTATATAAAATCCATCAAATTAGGCTTTTGCCTTTTGGCCGGATATGGTAATGAAGGTATGCAAATAGGAAAATAAGGAAGAAGGAGAAAACGGTGAAAAAAGTTTTTAAGTAAGAAATACACATTTTAGGCGCGTGTATTTCACCACTTCGCAGACATCTGGTTGTAACTTTTTAAGGGGTAAATAATTTTACTTTAAAATAGTTCAGGGGATAATATGATCCCCGAAAAAAAAAATATGTAATTGATAATATGATCGTAAGTGGGAGAGGATTTTATGCATTATCCCTACATATTACATATTGCTGTTTGATTTAAGTGAATTGTCTGTTTATAGTTTAGTGCTTGTTTAGGACGGACTTTTTAAAATATTGTGTTTGTTTGTATTTTGTAACAAGCTTTAATTTGAAATTGTTATTCTTTTTGTTACAAATTTAAAATTTCATTAAATTTAGTTCTTTTATACTTTTCTTTTTCACCAGTTAAAACTATTTTAATATACTAACTAAATAATACTTATTGCCAATGCAAGATGTTAAAGTTATTTAAAATTTTAATTATTGTCTATTACAAATAAGAATGTTAATCAAATAGAAAGTACATAAACTATATACTATTACTATGATGGGAGTACTATATTTTGCTTTGCTCACCTAGGCATCTCATATTCAGTCAATATGGTAACAACTGTAAAATTACAAAACAATTAATGTATACTTATTAGCAAAATACAAAAATATTCATTTGGCTGGGTAATAAAGGTATTAATAATTCAAATAGGTTAAGACATTAAATAAATATAACTAAACTTTGATTGTTCCTATCTTTCTAGAGGAAAAAGATATCCAATCATCTAATTAAGCTGGACAAATCAGCAATCGTACAATCATCCGCACCGATCTCATTCACTACTTTATTTATTCATGTATAATAGTTTATTCAAAGCTTTTTCTTAAAATATATAATAATATTATTTTATAAAATTATACTACATGATTCGACATAAACGTGCAAAACACGTACCGAAAAATTAGTATAATAAAAATACAAGGAGTGTAATGTCTATCTTAATTAATTTACTTCTCGTGTCAATAGTTCTTATGCTATTCAGAGAAGTAACTTTTTATTGGGCATAGTAAGATTCAAGACTGTTACTTTTCTTTTAATTATTTTTTAAAAAAATATAACGGATAATTAATGTCTCAAAATAAAAAGAAAAGTATATATTTTGTTTAGGTGAAGGATTATTTTTATCAAAAAAAGGGAATTTAAAATTTGAACTTGACATGGTAAGGACTATAGTGCGATTGTAATGTCAAACCAATTTTGCAATTTATATTTAATTTCTATAAAAATTCAAAAGAATTATGCGTAGTTTTATAATTTATCTAACAACTATGTAAACTTACAATAAGATATAGCCTCATATCGTATTCAGATATATATTTTGTATTACTCTTGTATCAGAGAATTAACCTAGTTTATTAGTTTAGCTTAGTTATCCCTAGCGGTGGCAAATGAGTGGGTAGGATCGAATTTGATGAAAATGGGTTGAGCAAAAATGGGTTGAGTCTCAACCCTCCCCCCATATTTTACACGGGTCACAAATGGGTTGGGTGTCAAATGGGCTGGTTGAATATGGGCTAATCCATATTATGTAAGTATCAAGTGCAATTTATAATTTTTCTTGGGATTTTTACCTATTTATACCATATATCAAATCTTATTACCAAAAATGTTCATAATTTGTTATTTACCCATGTAGTCC